TATTAAAATCTCATTGATTGTCCAGGAAGAATTCTCGCTTTTTTTTTTTTTTTTTTTTTTTTTTCTTTTTAATCTCACATTAAACAAAGATCAAAGAAGCCAAACGAGAAGAAACAAGCCATAATATATCTATAACATAAATATGTGGGATTCTTTATATTTGTTAGAATACTATTTATGAGTGAAAAAAAATGAAGTTTTTCTCGAGAATTATTTAATGAGAATAGTATTTTTTTTCCTCATAAATTGAAAATCTGATTTTTTTTAAATGTGGCCGATATCGGCCGATAATTTGCAACCGAACTGTTTCGGCAACCGACAAAGTCGGTTGCCAACCGTTACCCGACCCACAATAGTCGGGTCGGTAATAGTTTTGCATATTTACAAATTTTAGGAATAAAATATGTTCGTCTTCTAAAAATTTTATTTTCGAACGATAAAATTTTGTTGTTGAAAGTGCAAATTTGGCAACAATATCCATCGTTGTCAATATTACTTTTATCTATAGTATATACCTTCGAGAACAAAAAAAAATAAAAAATCGTTGTGCATGGTCGGTGTATTGGAGACGAAATAAATTCGTGGTGCACAGGAAATGTATTGGCAACGAAATCAATTTGTAGTACACGATGGATTATTGGCAATGAAATAATTTTGTTGTGCATTTTGAATGTAATGGCAATGAAAATAATTTCATTGAACATGATTAATGTATTGACAACGAATAATTAGTGGCAACAAACTAAATATGTTGTTCATAGTTAGAGTTTTGGCAACATATATGTTTAACAACAATATGCAAGTCGTTGTCATTCTCAAAGTATTGGCAACGATCAACGATTTCTAACTTTCGTTGCCCCAGACATCCACAACGAAGCGAAGCGGGCAACAAAATCAGATACGTTGCTCTAACTTTCGTTGCCCCCAGACATTCCACAACGAAGCGAAGCGGGCAACAAAATCAGATACTTTCAGCAACGAAAACATGCGTTGCCGATTTTGTAGTTTCTTGTAGTGATAGCTCCCTATAACTTGATTCACTCTCCATTGAGACTGAAGCATATTCCGACACTTTAAAAACAAATAGGTCACCTCTCATGTAGTCTAATTTTACAAATCATCTCCACAAGAATTTAGGCGTCGTCGTATTCAAATGATAAGACTGGCAAAACCTAATTTTGTGATAAAACCGGCAAAACCTAATTCTGAGCACAACGTAGTGTTAGTGTATGAGACGCCACAAATTCTCGATTCCAACTAGATGACTAACTATTATAAACCAACAATTTCATAATTTCTGTACCAAAATGATACTATGACAGCAACAGAGGAAAAAAAACACTGACGAGCAGCAAATTATAATAAGCATTATTTCATCAAAGAACCAACATTAAATCGAACAGGATAAACGAATCCACCAAATCTTCTTCATCACCGCCTAATCGTTATACTGATCCAACCAGTGGAGAAGAAGAAGAAGAACTTGGATACCTGTATTCACATAATAGGAAACGCTGAAATCTCAAGTGTCTCCAAGATTCGGAAACTATATACAAAATAGAAGCTATACAGAATATTAATAATTAGAAATTATCTTTTATTAGAAAGTTATAGCAAACTGAGTATTTATTATCAGCACACTATAATTTTGCACCAACTACTCGGAAGTAATGGAAGCAATTGGATAACCAAATGTGTTTTCTCCGCTGTAGGTTACGTAAAGGAAGCCATCTTCATCCTTCTTGTCATCATATATTGAAGACATTATAGCACCTACAACCGAAACGAGAAAAAAATCAAATAATAAATTAATTAATACCATGTATAAAGTTATATCAGTGGTTTAAAATGCTTACCTGTAGGCGGTAGAACATTGTCAACAAATATGAAGATTGCCTTTTCTGCACTCAGTTTGATTCTTTTCCGTATAACATAAACCAACTGTCCAACAGTCAAGTCCGCCGGGACAAGATACCTATGAATGATTATCTCAGTAAGATAACTAAAACAAAATCTCGACTTTCAAATTTCAAATGGTTTACCGATTTCGTTTGGAAAAAAAACAATTACAAGGCTTCGGGAAAGAAAAGTCTTTTCCAAATACAAAATAAATAATATTATAAACCGGAAAAGAAAAATACAAAAATAGACAAAGTGACAAATGATCAGAGAATAACAGTACGAACATCAAAACATTTGGCACTCTGACGCATTGTTTACCTATATTTTTCGGAATCTTACAATCAAAGATGGTATCAATCTTGATGTATTTCATTTAACATTAGTTTAGCTATAAACGAATTATATTAGTGAGGAAGAAACTTAAAAGAAATAACACTCTGCCAAACTGTAGACACAAGAACCATCAAATACATTAATCAGAGGTGTTACTCAGTTTTATTTGCAAGTAGAGAATTTTATCATAACATAAGGTACGGCCGAAACATAGTCGTAAAATATCAAAATTGGTTTATCACATCTGTTGAATAATCTTATCAAATCAATTATGTTAAAAACAAAATAAATTCACTATTTTGACATCAATTAGCACTATTTGTAATGAGACACGTTACGGCAAGTACTCAATTTGGTAAAAATTAATATTGTGGCAAATACTTACTTTTTCTTGTCAATGTTTGGGATATCACTCCTTTCTGCCTTCTCCACAATCACCTACATTTTCAGAAAACAACTGGATGTCAGTGAAGTTAATATCAAATATAACGGTTTCGTTGCGGATAATACTCGTACTGGAGATAATCACCGTCCCAACAAAAAATGTTTCAGTCAAGAACATAACATCAATCCGTAAGGGTAAAACAAGATTAAAAATAAAAATAAAGGGAACACGTTTGAGTAAAGAAGCTGCTCACAAACCCGATAGATGAAGGTCGAACTGGTAATTCAAAATAAAGAAACAAATTTTGGTAATGGTCCGTCAATATTATGCAATGCCCCCTAACTCTCCAATTGAAAAAAATCTTAAAAGTCTACCGTTCAAGTAGAATTGATTTCAAGAAGTCAGCCTTAGCTTATCAAATATTCGAGACACGTATAGCCTAACAAAGAAATAGCAAAATGCAGCGGCAATAAGGCGCTTAGAATAATAGATTGCTTCGAATCACGAACGACAGAGTAAACGTAGAAAAGATGGCGAAAGATTAAATGTTATAAACTGGATCAAGATGCAAAGCAGATTTCTTAATTTAAACCCTCATTCCTAAAAACATTGTCAAAATCATCATCCACATAAACGGAATTACAAACAACAGAATGCATAAAATTGGCGGCTGAATTCTCACCGGAAGTCGATCTGGGTATACTCCCTAATCCTAGCAGCCAAAACACGCCTTTTCTCTGAGAAATATAATATGCTAATTTATCAGAAAATTAAAAAAAATAAAGTAATACCAGGATCATAATTAAATTAAACAAACGAAGGTACAAACCAAGATCATGCTCTTGCTTGAATGAACTCTTGGCCATTCCACCTGGATATCACTGCTTCAATTTTAAAAGTCAAATTCTTGAAATTTAACCAATGAATCCAAATCGTCGAAATTTACACCCTCCAGACGAAGCCAATTTCAATTTATTATCAATAAAGCAAAAATTGATCCTAAAAAAATTAAATAAAAAAAAAAACCCTAGAAAACCCTTAGCAATGTATACCCGAGAAAATCAAAGGTTATCAATCAAGAACCCCACTGAAAGATATTTTGATTTATAACCCAGATAATATATATGTGATCTAATTTACAGAAAAGACCCAATAAGAACAAACAATCAAAAGATAAAGAACGGAACCCAGAATCACAATCGTGAAATAGCTTTTAAGCTAAAACGAAAACTAAAACAAGAAAAGAAGATTATTCTATCAATATATATGTATGTGTATGTATATATATATATAGATATATATTGATAGATATATAAAAAAGAGGAAGAATAACCTTTTTGGAAGAAAACGATGACGGTGAAGAAAGAGCAAAGGAAAATGATAAAGAAAGTGAGGAATGTGGTGGTGGTGGAATGAACGATGACGCTTTGCTTATAGACTTTGTTTTCGACCTATTTATTATAAATAAAAATTAAAATATTGGGTAAGCCGAATTATTAATCATTATCCAATTCTTTACTCCATAAAAGATGAGAAAATTGGGTTGTGCTTCTCTGTTATTGCAAATACGTGTGAACATGAAATAGTCAACGTTATACTGAGTCTATATGGATTACAGAAAAATCTGGTCATTTCCCAAATTTTGGTTCCCTATAGAATATTCTCTCTTACATTCAAGGTATAATTTTGAATGTAAAAAATAAAAATTCATGGGGACTATGTTTGTTTATCTTTTAAAATGAGGTTATTGCAAAAACCACCCCTGTGAAATCTCTAATTGTCAAATACCCCCCTGTGGAAAAAAATGTGACCAACTCCCCCCTGTGTTATCAAAGTCAAAGCATCTGGACCCCTGAAGCTAAATCGTGTATCTCACGCGCACTTTGTGCGAATGTTTCTTTGTTTTCACTTGTGAAATGTCATAAATGCCCCCCCCAATCCTATTTAAAATCCCCAATTCTCTTCTCTTCTCTTCTCTTTTCTTTTCTTTCAATGCCCTAATTGCAGCCGCTCAAGTTCAACCTTCAATTGCTTGTGATTTTATCTCGATTTCCATAGATATTCTGATAATGTCGTCGTATTCGTCTAGCAACACAGCGAGGAGAAGTAATTCGAAGCCATTAATGGATTTGAGGTATGGGATTACTCCTCTATGTCTATGCAAAATGAAAGCAATAATAAAAGTGGTTGAATCATCAACGAAACCATCAAAGGGTAAGTTGTACTACTCCTGTGAACATCGATGCTGCAATTTTTTTCGTTGGTGTGAACCAACTCGAGCAACTTGGGAGCCGATGGGGGTTGCTGTACGATTTTCGAATTGGGAAGCCTCTGCAGAAGGTTTTTCGGATGAAGTAGATGAGCCACGTGAAGTAATGTCTAACGGGATTGAAGGAAGAAAAAGTGATGCAATTTTGCATATTTCTTGGGTTATTTGTTTAGCATTGTTTATTATGGTCATTCTTTTGTTGTTGAAGCTGTAAAAAAACCTTTTTTTAGCTGTTTTTGTTTCAATTAGTTTCAATTATGATTGTAATGAATGAAGCTTTGATGTTGGAATGAAGTTTTTTTTTCTTATCATTTTTGTTTATGTTTATGATTCTGTTACACATTTCTTACAAAATGAGAAAATTTGTAATAAAAATTGGCAAAAACAACCTTGAAGTGAAATGTAATTTGCAAAAACAACCTGTTTGCTAAAAAAAATGCAATCACACACATAAACAACTCCCTGTTGCTAAAAAATATGCAATCACACACATACACAATTACAAA